GATTTTTTCTTTTTTTAAGATAGATATATATCATTTTAGAAGTTAATGAAGTTGCATATCAATATATAAGAGAGTTTAGAAATTACCTTAAGTTTTTATTTTTATTTTTATTTTTGGTTGAATCAATAAACATTTTGGAACTTGAATGGGAGTAAAGTACGTACAATTAATTAAACAGAGGTTGGCATAGTTGTCCTAGAGCATGCCGACTAGGGTTTTCAATTCCTGCTTGCATACATAAGTTTACTATAGAAGACTATCTGGTGGTAGTAATTAGGTTCGAGGAACTTGGTCCAGAATCCACCCTGGTGTTTGGATCCAGTCCCTAGTATGCTACAACGGTATATTAAAAAAAAAAAATTATGAAATTTTGCGGCTGTACCCTCATAAAATCTTAAAAACCAATATTGTTTTTTTTTTTTTTTTAATCAACCAAGAGCTAATGTTTCATGTTTACTACTACACATGTAGTAGTATGTTAGTAATTCATGGGAATCAATAAACTATACGTTTCATTAATAGGACGGCCGAAATCTAGGGCAAACCTCAGAGGAGTTTGCGTGGCAATGTATGTGCTCGACACAGGCGTATAATGGATATATTATGATGCTACGTGTCTGTTTTATGTCCTAACCTCCATGACTACGTTCTCCTCTGTGTTGTGTTGTTCATCATTGGAATTCCAACTACTTCAGTTTAATTGTTGGATCGGATATTGGTCTGATGACAAAATTACTGCTACATAGAGAGAGAGAGAGATAAAGGGATTCAAGGTAAATAAGAGAAATATTATGAGTTCAATTTCAGCCCAATGATGGATGGCTCAATAAGCTTTGTACAAAATGGTTCTAACTCTCAACGTTGTAATCAGTTATTAGTTTTTTAAAATAGGATACTGATTGGTGCATATCCGGATCCCACATCCGGGTGTGCACTCTTCATATAAAAAAAAAAAAATTGGACTGGGTGATGGGTTTTTTTTTTGTTTATATGGTGTGTGCACACCCAGGTGTGGGATCCGAGTGTGCACACGTCATTATCCTTTAAAATATGATTGATATATTATTTAATTTAATATATTTTATAATATTTATTGATATAATTATTAAAATTTATAGTTTTTACTTTTTTTCTTTTACTTTAAATATAAAAATAATAATTTTTTAATAAATGTATTATAAAATGTGTTGAATAAAAAAATGTATTTATTATTATTTTAATTTTTTTTATTTGTCATAATAATCTCTAATATATTTACCCCCTATGTTGTTAGGGATGCCGTGGGACTTTGCTTTTGTTTATGCTTTTTGAATTTTTGCATATGCTTTCGTACAGGAACGTTAATGTAGTGGTTATAATACTCTTTATATTTCGAAGTTATTAATTTTTTTCTTCATAAAAATAAGACAGGGAGAGGGATTATTCTTTCTCTTTTTACTTGGAAATATTCATCAAGTGATTTTCCACTTTCTACGCCGCTACGTGCCCCATGCTCACATGTACATATGTACTCCTCTCTTATGAGAGTTTTGGCAATTGCTGCGATTTCTGCGTTTCACTATTAGAAAATAGAGTATATTCGATAGAAAATACTATTGATTATACTTATAATCGACAGATATAATCGATAATTAAATTTGTTAAATAAATAGTATAATCAACAGAAATGTATTTTGTTGACAATATTTCTGTCGATTATACTATTTATTTGACAAATTTAACTGTCGATTATACTTGTTTCAGTCATAAAAAGAAATTTAAAATTAAAAAATATAGAATTAAAATTTTAATTTTGTAGTTATTAATTAAATTATAAAGTCATTAAACAAAATTCAATAATAAAATCAATCAAGTGCAACAATAATATATAAAATAATTTTGAGAATAATTAAAAACAAGAATAATATTCAAATATTATGAGAATTAATAGAAAAATAAGATAAATGATAAGTAATTTACCTATAATAAAGTAAAAATATCTGTAAAAGGGAAAGGAAATAGCATTATTATACATTATAAGATTTTATTTAAGTAAAAGGAAATGAAAAATATAAATTAAAATGTGAATTTAACTCATAAAATTATTTTAAGCTCAATAATTTGCAAAAATAAAAAAATATATATTAGTAGATCAAATAAAAATAATAGGATGATAAATGAAAATAACAAAAAATAAATAAATAAATAAATAAAAAGAAAAAGCTTGAGATGAAAGAATGAAAGAAAATGAAGGAAAAGCAGAAGGATGGCAACCAAAAATGAAAATAAGAAAGGTATAAGGAATGATGAAAGAAAAGTAGAAACAAGAGGAAAAGATGAAGACATGCAATGGAAGAATTAGAGAGGTAGAAGAAAAGGGAGAAGAAGAAAGATGAAAGAAAATTAAAAATGAAAGGGAGAAGAAGAAGATGATGACGATAAGAACAAAGGGAGAAGGGAAACGAGGTGAAACATCTGTGGAAAATGAAGGAGAAGGGGAGAAGTAGGAGAAAATGAAAAGATATTTATTGATTATGTTTCTGTATCCATATATATATAAAATATTTGACAAAAATTCTATTAATTATATTTTAAAATGGTTGTCGATTAGGGATGGCAATTTCCCCTGATCCTCGCAGGGCCCCGTAGGGATCCCCGTCACGGGGACGTGGTGGGGAGGAATATTCCTCCTCGCGGGGCGAGGATGGGGAGCATTTTCCCCCCGTGAAATTTTGTAGGGAATTTTCCCTGTCTCGTGAGGTCCCGCAGGGATTCCCATCCCGGCAAAAATTAAAACAAATATAAATTAATTTTATTTTAAATTTAATTCATTTTTCAAACTCAAACCCAAACATAAACCTAAACTCATGTTCAAACTCAATTCTATCAAAATTAAATTTAACCCAATTTTACCTAATCCAACCCAACTCAATCCATAAAAATTAACCCAATTCATTCCCCTACTTACATTTAACCTTAACCGTAATTCATTTCTCAATTTTCATTTTCACCTTCCCCTCCATTGTTGGTTTAATTTTTGCTTATATTTTAGTTTATATTTTAGTTTAGCTTGGATTAATCTTTGTTTATGTTTGGAACAAATTTGTTAATTATTGATTTAGTTATTTATGTTGAATTGATTTTTATTTATATTTAAAAATTTTAGTTAATTGTATTTGAATTTTTAGAATTTTATTTATTATAATTAAATATTAATTAATTATATGTGAAAGACAAAAA